TGTCCTTTAGTTAGCTGGGCGGAAGGCCTGTCTGGTAGTAAGGATAATAAGTAGGAATAAGTCGTGTGTGATTAGATGAAAGAAGTGCATGCTCCACTTTAGAATTACTTAAACCCACTTCTCGGAGTAAGCTGCGCTCTGCTGCATGGTGTAATTGTAAGTACCTGAAGTGCCATCCCATGGGGATATGTAGCTCTCTCTGAAAGTGTATAAAAGTTTTAAAAACGCCCTCTTGATATAATTGATAAAGATAGGTTAAACCATACCTAGCCCAATGTAAACAATTTGGTAAGACGTAGAAGTATGGCAAATGAGGATTAAACCATAGTGGCTGGTTGGGGGAACAGAGGTGTTTGGCTTCATCTAAAATATTAAAACAGTGATTGTATATTCACAGAGAGGCCTAAGATTTCTTTTTTACTTTATTTTGCCTTTGCCTAGAGCCAGGGTGAGAGAAATCCAGTTAATGCCTATTTGGATTTCAAGTTTAAATTAGCTAATTACATTACATGTTCATCAAAACAGAAGGTGTTCAAAGTCTAAGGGCTCATATACACATGGGGCAAAGACTGCCACGCCTCTAGAAAGTGATCACTTTTCATAGGTGTTGGACTGGTGGTGAGGAAGTGAAATGTCCACTCCTCAATACCTGTTTTATTCCTAAAAATTTTCAACTGCGTCTGTTAACTTGAATGGGGCACAATCAGTGGGCAGTACTGTCCACTGAACACAACCGGGGGTTTAATAGCCTCCTACCTTTACAGCTTAAGGGGTGTGATTCAGGGGCAACGAAAATGCAGCTCAACTGTATGTTTGAGCCCCTACCCCATCCCTCAACTGCATGCATAAATAAACCCTTACCGTTTTCAAAATATGGACTGTACCTCAAAAATGTATAGGACGGTCATCGGGTTTTCAATAAAACAAATCAACGTTGAATATCTCACATTTATATATTGTACTCATTTTATTCTTGTTTGTATTTTCTGTATTCATTTTAGCACGTTAAGCCACCAGTATGTTTTGGCTGTAATATCATGAATTTTATTTTAGCGGTTTTCATTATTATTGTAATTACTATACAGGGTTTAAATAGCACCAACAAAATAACAATACCTTTACAAAATAAAGGTAGATGGTACAGTTACAATATGACTCAATACAAAAGGGTTCAGAGGGCTCTGCTTGTAAATATCTTTTGGATTCTGGAAAAGTGGTATGGTGCTTATACTTTCACTGTAAACTTTTTCCTGAAATGCAGGACCCATCTGTACCTATAAGGGCCCATGTACACTGCAGCTGATAAACTCACGTTTAGGAGCTTTTCTGCATTTTTTCAGCAGCCCCTGAACTCTCCCTATTGTTTTCCTATGTGTCCATGTACACTATGTCGTTAACAGGCAGTTGAGTTTACAGTCCTTTTTTTGAAAGCACCAAACTTGCGTTCAGGAGTAGATTTTATCAGCGTTCAAATGCCAAATGCTTGTAAACGCAGCTAACCACGTTTATAAGCGTTTGCGTTTAGAAGCGTTTTTTAACTGTTTATATCCAAATGCTGTCCAGAGCCTTTTTTCATCATCAGAAATGCATGCAAAGCATTTTCCATGTATTCAAATGGACCTAGTACCCCAGCGCAGTCAGTTCCAGGTTTTGCGTGAAGGAAAAAAATGGTAGAACGTGCTGCATTATGCTCATGATGGGATCCATAGTGAATACAACCAGAAAAGACAGGTAATCTCAACACCTACTGATCTCTCTGCTTCTGCTCTCTCTATTTCTCTCAAAATCTCTGAAATAGTTAATTTTTTACTGTTTTTCAGTGCATTCTGGGCATTTTGGAAGATCCCCTGAGGTTATCTTAAAAAAACACCTCTAAATTCAAATCACAAACTCGGCTAAACTTACATTTTCTAGCAGTCAATTTCCATCATTCAGAAGTGTTCATGGAGCCTAAGCTGCCTTTCTAGATCTGGCATCCCTAAACCACAAGGCCTGTAACCACACCCTTTTATTGCTGTCTGTGTCCCCATTAGACCCTGTTCTGATGATGGCTGTCAGATAGAAGAAGGAATAATGGAAAATATCCACAATGGGGACACAGACGAAAATTAAAAATTTAGAGGATTTAACCCTTCCATGCACTATCCAAAACTTTAAAAAAAATTAGTTAAATCCTGCTTTGCCTGCAAATGTTTTTAGAGACTTTGCAAAGTCAAGTATCGCTGATAGAACTGCTTTCTGTACAGTCTACCTGGCTATTCACATATGACATTCACAGTTCAGCATTCTTTGAAAACAACTACTTGAATTCCAGACATCCTGACTGACATATGGATTCTCTTCTAGTCTCTGTACACATGATAATGCTAAATGTCTCCATGAATGGAGATGTGTCTGCAGGCTGTCGTGTGCATCCTGTTTTAACTTGTTTATGTGTTAATAATAAGCCCCTATAGTCCTCTTTCTGCTGCAGGTTCTCTAGTCTCCAGTCCATGCTGTCTGTCAATGTGTCTACACAGGTTTATTATGAATCATAGAACTCAACAAAATCATCTTTCAAGCATTCACTTATGGGGTTATCACACTTAGCATTGGAATACCTAAAATTGCTTGTAAATACTACCAGCAGCACAATTCTGAATTTTATCACTAAAAAACATAAAAAATCCTTAATGATCTAAGATAAGATAAAATGCCTATACAATGCATTTTTAGATCATGTCAGAGAAAGCATCCTAATAGATCTGTAGGTACTCAGTAAATTACATTTTAAACCAAGCTTTAGTGTAAGCTCTATTCTACTGTTCCCCAAACTTTGGTCAGTCTTGTTTCACACCATCATAAACGCTGCAGTGCCTTATATAGCACATGTGAGATAAACAAACATTTAGGGTTAGCATTAGCATAAACCTGGTCATAGTTGGATCAAATCTAGGCTGATTCAGCTGGGACTGGCCGAGATTCGATCCATGGTTGTACCCAAGTTGATCCATCAATTGACTTGGACAATGGTGGGCTGTCAAGGCCAGCAAGGCCTTCTGCTGGCCTAAAAATTGCCTAAACTATCAGAATCACTGATTTATATTTTAATTTATTTTTTTCCATGAATATGTTATTCTCAATAGTCTATTCTCTCCTTTTCATAACTTTTCTCTTGGTTTTGCTGCTTCCAGAAGTGTTTTATCAAATCTTATTTCAGCCATGATAGCCATCATGTGTTGCCAGTAGAGATGAGCGAATCGAACTTGGCGAAGTGGAATTCGTTTCAAATATTAGAAAAAATTCGCGGCGAATCCGAAAATTAGCAGACTTCGGATGCGCGAATCGAAATTTTTCCAAAAATGGCGGCGACATGTGTGGCGACGGAGCGGGGATCTCTGGGAAGGCGCGCAGACAAGGCGCGCTGACCCATAATGCATTCATTCATGACATGTGATCGCATTAGCCAATCAGCAGCCAGCCAGCCAGCACTGTGTAATGGTGGAGCTATAAATTGCGGCCATCTTACAATTCTCCATTTGCCTCCGGTCATTCAAGAGAGACAGAACTCTCTGTATTAGGGACAGAGTTAGGGCCACAGATACTTTAGGGACACAGAATCGTTACTCAGGGACACAGAATCGTTACTCAGGGACACAGAACTGTTACTGAGGGACAGACACAGAATTGTTACTGAGGGACACAGAACTGTTACTCAGGGACACAGAATTGTTACTCAGGGACAGACACAGAATTGTTACTCAGGGACAGACACAGAATTGTTACTCAGGGACAGACACAGAACTGTTACTCAGGGACACAGAACTGTTACTCAGGGACACAGAACTGTTACTCAGGGACACAGAACTGTTACTCAGGGACACAGAACTGTTACTCAGGGACACAGAATTGTTACTCAGGGACACAGAATTGTTACTGAGGGACAGACACAGAATTGTTACTGAGGGACAGACACAGAATTGTTACTGAGGGACAGACACAGAATTGTTACTGAGGGACACAGAATTGTTACTCAGGGACAGACACAGAATTGTTACTCAGGGACAGACACAGAATTGTTACTCAGGGACACAGAACTGTTACTCAGGGACACAGAACTGTTACTCAGGGACACAGAACTGTTACTCAGGGACACAGAACTGTTACTCAGGGACACAGAATCGTTGAATTAAAGAGTATGTCAGACAACACGCAGAGGAGTGTCAGAGGAGGCCATGTTTTAGGAGCGAGCAGACGTGGCAGCAGAGGAAGGGTCGAGGCAGCACTAGTCGCAGCCAGAGGCCAGTGCTCCCGGTGTCATCCAGCGGTCATGTCTAAACCGACAACCCTGCCGTCATCGATTGGTTGGCTCGGTCGTCTTCCTCTTCCCAGGTCACCTCTGACACCTACAGCCAACGGTCGGTGGGTACGTCAGACACAACCGTTAGTTGGCATGGCCCGGGAGCAAGCCCACTGAAATCACGTGTCCTCTACCTGCCCCTGTCCTTTGGTGTTCCCTCACCAAGCGAAGTATCGCATGCTGTGGGCTCAGCCCCACTGTACAGTGAGGAAGAGCTTACAGAGGGCGGTCAGGAACGGGGGGAGACATCCGCCTCTTCAGCAGCCAGGCGAAGAAGTACTGGCGAGGAGAGTGGCTCGGTAGCCGGTCTAGAGACAGGTCTGTCTCCTGACCCACATGCAGCCGAGGGGGCTAGTAGTGAGGCGGAGACCCTAATTGATGATGATGAGGCTGATCGCACTTGGCAGCCTCGTCGTCATCAGGCTATTGCTTCCGCATCATCAGGAGAAGAGGGTGGCAGCTTGGCAGCGAGAAAAAACAGTCGGTGGGTTTGCCTACTCGGCAAAGTTTCCTACTCGGCGGCGTTGTGGCCAATGGCAATTTCGTCAAGCTGCTGCCGAGGAAGTAAACGTAGCCGTATGTCGACTATGTGGCCAGAAAGTCAAGCGTGGCCAGGGGGCCCATGTCTCCATCGCCACACTCTGCCATGTGCCACTTTCAGGTCTCCTCACACTGCTGGTGGGTTCCATTTTGTCATAGGGTGCTGGCAGATTACGGGCCTCCCATTGCTGCTGCCAGGCCTGTAATCTGCCATGGGCCCCCGTACCGCCTCCTCATGCTGCTGCCAGGTCTAGAGTGTCTCATGGGTCCCTGTACGGCCTCCCATTGCTGCTGTCTCCATCGCCACACTCTGCCATGTGCCACTTTCAGGTCTCCTCACACTGCTGGTGGGTTCCATTTTGTCATAGGGTGCTGGCAGATTACGGGCCTCCCATTGCTGCTGCCAGGCCCGTAATCTGCCATGGGCCCCCGTACCGCCTCCTCATGCTGCTGCCAGGTCTAGAGTGTCTCATGGGTCCCTGTACGGCCTCCCATTGCTGCTGTCTCCATCGCCACACTCTGCCATGTGCCACTTTCAGGTCTCCTCACACTGCTGGTGGGTTCCATTTTGTCATAGGGTGCTGGCAGATTACGGGCCTCCCATTTGCTGCTGCCAGGCCCGTAATCTGCCATGGGCCCCCGTACCGCCTCCTCATGCTGCTGCCAGGTCCAGAGTCTCTCATGGGTCCCTGTACGGCCTCCCATTGCTGCTGTCTCCATCGCCACACTCTGCCCATGTGCCACTTTCAGGTCTCCTCACACTGCTGTTGGTTTCCATTTTGTCATAGGGTGCTGGCAGATTACGGGCCTCCCATTGCTGCTGCCAGGCCCGTAATCTGCCATGGGCCCCCCTACGCCTCCTCATGCTGCTGCCAGGCCCGTAGTGTGTCATGGGTCCCTGTACGGCCCTCCATTGCTGCTGTCTCCATCGCCACACTCTGCCATGTGTCACTTTCAGGTCTCCTCACACTGCTGGTGGGTTCCATTTTGTCATAGGGTGCTGGCAGATTACGGGCCTCCCATGCTGCTGCCAGGCCCATAATCTGCCATGGGCCCCCGTACCGCCTCCTCATGCTGCTGCCAGGCCCGTAGTGTGTGTCATGGGTCCCTGTACGGCCTCCCATTGCTGCTGTCTTCATCGCCACACTCTGCCATGTGTCACTTTCAGGTCTCCTCACACTGCTGGTGGGTTCCATTTTGTCATAGGGCCCATGGCAGATTACGGGCCTCCCATTGCTGCTGCCAGGCCCGTAATCTGCCATGGGCCCCCGTACCGCCTCCTCATGCTGCTGCCAGGTCCAGAGTCTCTCATGGGTCCCTGTACGGCCTCCCATTGCTGCTGTCTCCATCGCCACACTCTGCCATGTGCCACTTTCAGGTCTCCTCACACTGCTGGTGGGTTCCATTTTGTCATAGGGTGCTGGCAGATTACGGGCCTCCCATTGCTGCTGCCAGGCCCGTAATCTGCCATGGGCCCCCGTTACCGCCTCCTCATGCTGCTGCCAGGTCCAGAGTGTCTCATGGGTCCCTGTACGGCCTCCCATTGCTGCTGTCTCCATCGCGCCACACACTGCCATGTGCCACTTTCAGGTCTCCTCACACTGCTGTTGGTTTCCATTTTGTCATAGGGTGCTGGCAGATTACGGGCCTCCCATTGCTGCTGCCAGGCCCGTAATCTGCCATGGGCCCCCTACCGCCTCCTCATGCTGCTGCCAGGCCCGTAGTGTGTCATGGGTCCCTGTACGGCCTCCCATTGCTGCTGTCTCCATCGCCACACTCTGCCATGTGTCACTTTCAGGTCTCCTCACACTGCTGGTGGGTTCCATTTTGTCATAGGTGCTGGCAGATTACGGGCCTCCCATTGCTGCTGCCAGGCCCGTAATCTGCCATGGGCCCCCGTACCGCCTCCTCATGCTGCTGCCAGGTCCAGAGTCTCTCATGGGTCCCTGTACGGCCTCCCATTGCTGCTGTCTCCATCGCCACACTCTGCCATGTGCCACTTTCAGGTCTCCTCACACTGCTGGTGGGTTCCATTTTGTCATAGGGTGCTGGCAGATTACGGGCCTCCCATTGCTGCTGCCAGGCCCGTAATCTGCCATGGGCCCCCGTACCGCCTCCTCATGCTGCTGCCAGGTCCAGAGTCTCTCATGGGTCCCTGTACGGCCTCCCATTGCTGCTGTCTCCATCGCCACACTCTGCCATGTGCCACTTTCAGGTCTCCTCACACTGCTGGTGGGTTCCATTTTGTCATAGGGTGCTGGCAGATTACGGGCCTCCCATTGCTGCTGCCAGGCCCGTAATCTGCCATGGGCCCCCGTACCGACTCCTCATGCTGTGACGTTGCAACAAGGTGGAAATTCAACCCTACATATGTTAACCGCCTTTACGAACAGCGAAAGGCCATCACCGATTTCCTGATGTTACAAGCGGATAAAAGTACTCCCCTGTGTAACTTAGATGTCAGCCATTGGCAGCTCATGCGTGACACCTGCCGCTTGCTCAGGCCCTTTGAGGAGGCCACGCTATTCGTGAGTCGGCAGGACTATAGGATGAACGACGTCATTCCTCTGTTGCACGTCCTGGAACAAATGCTGTTAACAATGGCTGGTCAGGGTGCGGTAGACGTGGCGCACAGATCTCAACGCCACATGACCCCTGTGGGGGCAGGACAGGAAGAAGAGGAGGACGTAGAGGAGGACATTGGTGCTCAGGAATTATTGAGTGAAATGGGTGGTTTTTTCCACTCAGCGGACAGGAGTGGAGGAGCAGGAGCATCTGGTAGAGGAGGAGGAGGAGACAGAGGACCCAGACGCACCGTGGCAGTATGCTGTGGAGATGGAGGCAGGGAGTCCCTCGCATTCCTTGGCACAAATGGCCCATAGCATGCTCGGTTGCTTGCGTAGCGACAGCCGAATAATAACCATCAGACAGAGGGATGACTTTTGGCTGTCCACCTTGTTGGACCCTCGCTACCGTTCAAAAATGGTGGCCTTTTTCACACCTGCTGAGAGGGAGGCCAAAATAACGTACTATAAAAACCACCTATGTAGTCAGTTGGTCTCTGCCTTTCTGCGCCAACGTCCATCCTCAGACACTGTGGGCCCTGTGCGCTCGCGTTCCGTTGCCATGGCAGCAGGGGAGGGGTGGGGTGGTAGGAGCAGTGGCAGCTCCACCAGCAGCGGCTGCCTCAGTCTGCAGTCGATGATGAGTAGCTTTCTTCACCAGCGCAGTGAGGAAACTACTAACCAGCCGCAGCAGCATCAGGTGGACCTGGAGCAGGACCTCAAACAACAGGCTTGGGCCTACTTGGACAGCACCCTGCCAACCGAGGTAGACAATCCCCTTGACTACTGGGCAACGAAACTTGACCTTTGGCCCCAACTAGCTGAATTTGCCCTTGAAAGGCTGTCATGCCCGGCCAGTAGCGTGGCATCGGAGCGCGTGTTTAGTGCGGCAGGAGGTATTGTAACTCCGCGGAGGACACGACTGTCCACCCAAAGTGTGGAGAGACTCACGTTTGTGAAAATGAATCAGGCGTGGATTAGTCTGGATTTCAAACCACCAGTTCCTGACACAACTGACTAAATCCGCCATGAATCATGCCCCAAACATGTTATTTTTAACATAGGCCTCTGTATGGCCTTCAATTTAAGCTGCTTACGCTTCGCCACTCTGCCATGGGCCCCTGTACTGCCTCCTCTTGCTGCTGCCAGGTCCAGAGTGTGTCATGGGTCCCTGTACGGCCTCCCATTGCTGCTGTCTCCATCGCCACACTCTGCCATGTGCCACTTTCAGGTCTCCTCACACTGCTGGTGGGTTCCATTTTGTCAGAGGGTGCTGGCAGATTACGGGCCTCCCATTGCTGCTGCCAGGCCCGTAATCTGTCATGGGCCCCTGTACCGCCTCCTCATGCTGCTGCCAGGTCCAGAGTGTGTCATGGGTCCCTGTACGGCCTCCCATTGCTGCTGTCTCCATCGCCACACTCTGCCATGTGCCACTTTCAGGTCTCCTCACACTGCTGGTGGGTTCCATTTTGTCATAGGGTGCTGGCAGATTACGGGCCTCCCATTGCTGCTGCCAGGCCCGTAATCTGCCATGGGCCCCCGTACCGCCTCCTCATGCTGCTGCCAGGTCCAGAGTGTCTCATGGGTCCCTGTACGGCCTCGCATTGCTGCTGTCTCCATCGCCACACTCTGCCATGTGCCACTTTCAGGTCTCCTCACACTGCTGGTGGGTTCCATTTTGTCATAGGGTGCTGTATGGCCTCCCATTGCTGCTGCCTCCACCGCCACACGGTGGCTCCACACTCTGGTTTTGGCCCCGTGACTGCCCAAATGAGTGAAGTGTGCAGTGATTCTAAGATCGACGGCACTCATCTGCATGTCATACTGACTGACAGTATTATTTCTCTTCCCCAGCAGACTCCAAGGGCATTTAAATTAAAGGTATAGTGTTCTGCACTAACATAAAGGCTCTCTGAAGCCTAGAAACACCCTTTTTAAAGTTAAATTCGCAGCGAATATATTCGCCTCGAATCAAATTTATTCCTCGAATTCGCCGAATCAGCCGAATCGAATTTTTGAATACTTCGCTCATCTCTAGTTGCCAGCATCAAAGAGATTTGCCTTGAGGCCTTCAGACTCAACAGTGTGGGCACCTGTAGCTTATAGTAACTGCAATGACACTGCTGCTTTAATCAATCAGATTTTGAGATGGTGACACTGGGGCCATCTAGCAGGTTACATTCCTTCTTGAGGAAAGAAAGGAAGATGAATTTTGTGCACAAATAATCAGTACTTTTGGTGAGTATAATTCATTTTATTTACCTTTTTTATTCTGTCAACCCTAACTAATCCAGGCCCTTTCCGGTGCTGAATTTTTAAGGTTACAGCCAAAAACTGCTGGATTAATTCAGGTAGGAAATCACTGAAGGCCTAGGTGTGAAATGCAAAGCCCACCACTAGACTTAGATACAACCAGCCTGTCCGATTGTTTACAGTGGGTATAGAAAAGCATCACCCTCATAAGCACATTTTGTTGTTTTGCAGCCTGAAATGAAGACAGACACAGTTTTCATTTTTCAAGTGCACCTTATAACATCCAAGTGAAAGATATAACACCAACACCAACATGAAAGATATAACACCAACAAGATATAACACCAACATAACACACCAAATTGTATAGACAGGCACAATTCAGGAGATGGATACAAAAAGATTTAAATTTTATCAATGCATAAAAGCACAGTGAAGTCTATTATTAAGAAGTGTAAGGTATTTAGTACAACACAGAGCCTCTCTCGATCAGGACGCTGCTCCAAACTGGATGAAAGAGCCAGGTGGAAACTGGTCAGAGAGGCTACCAAGAGGCCTACAGTAGCTTTGAAGCAATTTCAGGAATTTATGACAAAGAGTGGTCATTGTGTGCATGCGACAATATCACAAATTCTCCACAATTGTGGCTTGTATGGAAGAGTTGCAAGGAAAAAGCCAATCCTCAAGAAAGGTCACATGCAGTCAAGGCTGAGCTTTGCCAAAACACACCTTGAAGATGCGGAGGCCACAAGATAAAAAGATATTATGGTCAGATGAGACTAAAATTGAATTATTTTGGCCTCAACAATAAACAATATGTATGGCAGAAATCCAATACAGCTCACCATCCAAATGACACCATTCCTACAGTAAAGTATGGAGGTGGTAATATCCTGCTATAGGGGGTATTTCTCTGCAGCAGGGACTGGAACACTTGTCATGATAGCAGAAAAAATGGATGGGGCAAAATACCATCAAATTCTTGAGGAAAATCTGGTGCCCTCTACCAGAAAGTTGTCAATGAGAAGATGGTTTACCTTCCAACATGACAATGACCTAAAGCACACAGCAAAAATGACCACATATTGGTTGAAGGAGAAAAAGGTGAATGTCCTTGCATGTGCTAGTCAGAGCCCAGACCTAAACCCAATGAAAATCTGTGGAATAACTTAACTAAGCAGTTCTGCAAAGAAGAGCAGGCAAATACTGCGAAATCTATATGCGCAGAATTAGTATTTATTTATGGTACTTATATAGCACCATCAATTTACGCAGCGCTTTACATATATATTGTACATTCACATCAGTCCCTAACCCTCAAGGGGTGTACAATCTAAGGTCCCTAACTCACATTCATATACAAGGGCCAATTTAGACAGGATCCTAATAACCTACCAGCATGTCTTTGGAGTGTGGGAGGAAACCAGATTACCCAGAGGAAACCCACACAGGCACAGGGAGAACATGCAAACTCCAGGCAGGAGGCGTTGTGGCTGGGATTTGAACCAATGACCCTAGTACTGCCAGGTGGAAGTGCTAACCATTTAGCCACTGTGCTGCCCAGAGACATATCCCAAAAGACTAAAGGCTGTAATTAAAGCAAAAGGTGGTTCAGCATAATATTGACACAAGGGGGAACAAGGATCCTTTTTCCCTCTCACTGATTCTGTTTGTGATTTTTTTTCTGGCATGTTGGTGTTATACCTTTCACTTGGATGGTATAAGTTGCACAGTAAATACAGGTGGATAAAACAAAAATGGTGTCTGTCTTCATTTCAGGCTTCAAAGCAAAAAAAGTGATTAGTTTAAAGGGAGGTGATTCTTTTCTATACCCACTGTACATGTGATTACTGCCGATGGCTATGGCTGTTAGGAGTAATCATTGTGTTCTGCTGACTTGGAAGGCTCCCACCTACAACAGGGAATTCCCCATCATCACTGACTGTTGGAGAAATCAAGCAATGAAAATTGAATCTTCTCTGGCTTGCCTAAAGATTGGATTTGTTTATTAACAAATCCAATCCTTAGGATTCAATCCAAATATTTTCAAGCAGGGTACGTGGAAAATTTTGAGGCTGATTTTGATTACGTTTCAGAGTTGGTAAAATTGGCAATTTTCCTGAAAAATCACTTTTGGAGAATCTGATCTGCTCATCCTAAGCCATAATCAGA